AAGGGTGGCCATAGTCTGCACTCTTGAGGAGTGAATATGACAGGTCCCTCGGCTTGTCTGAACCCTCGCGCCACCAGAAGATTACTCCTCCAGGGGGTGGTGGGGTTGGGGATCAGGGGACAGGAGATTCTATAGTAGAGCTTCAATGAATGGAGGAGGGGGGTGGAAAGGGTGGCCATAGTCTGCACTCTTGAGGAATGAATATGACAGGTCCCTCGGCTTGTCTGAACCCTTGCGCCACCAGAAGATTATACCTCCAGGGGGTGGTGGGGTTGGGGATCAGGGGACAGGAGATTCAACTAAAACCGCAGACAGCACAAGGGGCAATCCACCATCACTGTAAGCTCTGTCCCTTGTGCTGATTTATTTTCCTTTAATGTTGATAAAACGTGGCTATATAAAATTGATGCAGGTGAAATATGCAGCAATAGGACCCAGGCTAACCACATATAGCCTACAAGGCTTTAAAGAACAATAAAGGAAAAAATATATTTCCAAGCGGAATCCACTTTTAATTTGGAAACGCCCATAGCCTTAACAACGAAGTGTCTAATGAAAATAAAAGTAAAGTTTAAAAAAAAAAAAAAAAGTTCCCCCCTCCGACCTTTCAAAGCAGCTCCGCACTTAATAGAAACTTATATTTGTAAGCTAATGCAATCACTTATCCGTAAAGATAAGGCCTGCCTATTCCCTTCTCTCTCCTTGTTCCCGCTATCGCGTGAATGCTGATAAAACCAAAACAAAAGGAGCAGGTTGTTCTCAGTAGAGCGCACATATTATATTTCCTAAATATTTCCTATCTTGAAGTGGGGGGGGGGGGGGGAGGGGGTTGGTTGAGGTGTTTGCGGTTTCCTATGAATGCTGTATCTGTATATATCATCTCGCGAAACAAAACGGAATATTAAACCGCACTTCTGAAAAGAGTAGGAGCAAAAAAAAAAATCGCAGGCAACCAACTGCTCATGGCAGCTGCTGATAGCAACAAAGTTTTCCTATTTCCCCCCATTCTGCTTGTATTTATTTGCTCACAATGCCATTGAAAAGTTTTTAAAGAAAATAAAAGTTGTTACGTTGAAAGACGCTTGTATGGGATTCTTAAAGCCGAAGTCCAGGCAAGACACAAACTAATACTGTAATAATTATTAAAAATTTATGTTGGCTAAAGCGGAGTTCCACTCAACCTATCAAAAAATAAAAGTCAGCAGCTAGAAAAAACTGTAGCTGCTGACTTAAAAAACAGCCACTTACCTGTCCCTCGGTCCCGTGGTGTCCCCCCCGCAGCCCGTTTCACCGGCTGTCCTGGATTCCAGGAGGCCGGCATCTTCAGTGTGGGCACCCGGCTGTGATAGCTTGTAGCTTCACAGCCGGGTGCTCATTGCGCATGCGCGAGCAGCGCTGCGCTTCATGAATGGTCCTGTAGTCTTCTGGGACCTAAATAGTATAGTGCAGCGCTTAAAATTAGAATAAAAAAATGCAGCAAAAAGCAGCAAATAAAAGTCAATTAAGTATCCATGGTGCTCTCTAGAATGGTGAAAATATCCAGAGCTTTTCTGCCTCAAATGATAGAAATGCGCACTCACCCGAAACGCATGGATTATGCGCATGTAGGAATAATCATCCTAGATGTTAGATCCGTCCAAGACCAGGCGGTAGGCATCCTTCTCATGGTGGGTCATCCAGAGCTCCAATTCAGGTCCAGAGATCCCCTTAAGGTCAGCCAGGTAATCCTCTATGGTGGTAATGATCCCTCCTCTAGATGGTACAGGCACCTTCTCTGTGGGGGTAATAGCTCCACACAGGAGCCCCAAAACAGGTGCCAAAGATAGTGTAGTATGTTCCCAAAAAGTATTTATTGATAAAGTAAAAGCAGAGTAGTATGCATATCACAAGAACTGAATATCAGTGAAAACAGCAGTACTGACCCCAACAAAGATGGCCGCTGGGCCTCCTCGTGGCTCCGGCGGTGAAATGACGTCACGCTCTGCACAGCTCCTCTTCTGGAACCTGTCATGTGTCCCAAAAGACTAGGGAGGGAGGGCACCTTCCGTTTCCGATCGCCCAGGCGATCGGACCAGAAATGGGAGCGGGTACCTGTCAAATTCAGGTACCCAGCCCCCCAAGGTGCCAATCCTTAATGGGGAGCGGGGGAGCAGTCCTTAAAGCGGAACTTCCCCTTTAATTACTGTCTGGATTTGACCCAGAACCAGCCAATTCCTGTCTTATGTGCAAACCAATGGTGGTCGTATGACATTTCTGATGATGCCAACAGTGAAGTTTGCCTGCTTGATATACAGTACTATGCAAAACTTTTAGGCAATGCTGTAAAGTAAAAATGATTTTCCTTCGACGTCGGAAGATGTCCAGCAGTGCCATCAGAACAGAACTGGCAGAAACCAGAAGGACCCAGGTACACCTATCCACTGTCTGGAAAAGTCTGGCCAGAAGTGGTCTTCATGGATGAATTGCTGCCAAAAAGCCATAACTCCGACATGGAACCAAGGCTACGCGACTCAGCTATGCAGGAAAACATAGAAACGGGTGGAGGAAAATGGCAACAGGTGCTCAGAACTAATCAAAATGTAAAATATTTGGCTGTAGCAGGAGGCAGTTTGTTGGTGAAGGGCTGGAGAAGGACATAAGAAGTGTCTCTAGGTGGTGGAAGTTCCTTGCAAGCTTGGGGCTCATTTCTGCAAATGGAGTTGGAGATTTGGTCAGGATCAATGGTATCCTCATTGCTGAGAAATACAGGCAGATACATCTCTATCATGCCATACCATCAAGGTGGCCTCTGATTGGCCCAGGGCTTATTCTGCAGTAGGACAATGACCCCAACCATACAACCAATGCTATTAAAGACTATCTTTAGTGTAAAGAAGTGATACATCTCTATCATGCCATACCATCAAGGTGGTCTCTGATTGGCCCAGGTCTTGTTCTGCAGTAGGACAACGACCCCAAACATACAACCAATGCCATTAAGGACTATCTTCAGTGTAAAGAACAAGGAGTCCTGGAAGTGATGGTTTGGCCCCCACAGAGCCCTGATTTCACCCTCAAGGAGTCTGTCTAGAATTACACGAGGAGACAGAATGATCTGAGGTGGCCTACATCCAAAGAATATCTGTGCTTAGTTCTCCAAGATGTCTGGCACAACCTACCTGCTGAGTTCCTTCAAAAACTCTGTGCAAGTCTACCCAGAAGAACGGATGCTGTTTTGAAGGCAAAGAGTGATTCGATTTGATTTGGATTTCTCTTCTGTTCATTTACTTTCCATTTTGTTCATTGATAGAAATACAAAAAATGAACACTTCTATTTCTGAAAGCATTCTTCATTTACAGACTTTTTCACACCAGCTAAAACCTTTGCACAGTAGCGTATGTTGGTACAACTGTAGTCTCCATTGGGAGACCATGTGACTGGGTGACAAAGCAATATACAATAATTCCATTGTACGTTCCAAGAAGTAGGTAGGAGGTAAGCGGGTGATGTAGCAACTACCAGATGGACCCCACGGTGTGAAGATGACACATGGCCACTGTTTTTCACCTCTTTTTGCACAGCGCCCTAAGGACCAGGCCTTTTGGCTAAGTTCAGGGCAATTTTTGCTACGGGCCTCAGGGCCTGGTCTGTGCACGATTCGGCACTTTTGGTACCACTTTTTTATTTTTTCTTTCTCTCTTATTTATTACGCACTTACCCACGTTTGTCACTTTTTCTTGCCTTATGTGTGTGTTTTTCACGGATGGAGGGTGTGGGTCCTCGGGCCTACCCTGAAGTCTAGGGGGAGGATGTGTGGCCATACGGTTCCTTCCTCCCCTGATCCCTAGAGGACTCTTCTCCGGGAGAGTCCCCTTGCCTAGTACTGAATGTCCGGCTTTGGCTGGGCATAGGGAACGGTGGTCCACCAAGCCTTTTGGCCAGGAGGACCAAGTGGGAACCTTGTCCCCGTCAGGAGCTTCGTGCCCCGGGGGATCAGGGTAAGCGGTCCAAGCCCCTTTAGGGGTAGGACACAGCACACCCCTAAGTGCACTTTTTCGTGTGGTGTTTTTGCACTTGCACTTTTTTTGTGAACACTTACGGGTTTTTACGTTATAGTTGCACGTTTGCGGACTTAAAAAAAAAAAAAAAAAAACTACCAGATGGAGACTGGCAACATTACGTGAAAGCATATACTGACCGACTAGAACATTATGACCACCCAACATAACACGACCACCATACTGAGTAGGTCCACATTTTGAAACCAAAACAGCCCTGACCCATTGAGGCATGGACTCCATTAGACCTCTGAAGGTATGATGTGGTATCTGCCACCAAGCCGTCATAAGCAGATCACTTCCTCCGCCGGCTTTCGTTCTCCCCATACTGCATCCTGATGCCTTCTCTTCCCCCAGTAAGTGACGCACACCCGGCCATCCACGGGATGTAAAAGAAAACGTGATTCATCAGACTAGCCCACCTTCTTCCATCGTTCCATGGTTTAGTTCTGATACTCCATGCCCATTTAAGTGATGTTAGTTGTAAGGTGGGGTCTCCATGTATTGGACTTGTTTTTCCAGCACATCCCAGAGATGCTTGATTGGATTGAGATCTGGAGAATCTGGAGGCCAAACCAACATCTCAAACTCATTGTTGTGTCCATCATTCTTGAATTCATCAGACCGGGCCACCTTTTTCCATTGCTCCGTGGTCCAGTTCTGATGGATCAATCACAGGCTGCAGCGACGTATTTACTGCAAGGGAAATAAGGCCTTTGCATTGGGCGACAATTTTTTTGGGGGGGGGGGGGGGAGAGAGGGTGCTTCCACACCCCGGAAGAAGGGACAAAGTGGCAGGGATGGGGACCTGGTTAATTCCTGATTGGAGATCAGCTTTAAAGTGTTACTTAAACCCAGGGCCCTGCATTCACTATATAGACCCCGGACCCTGCATTCACTATATAGACCCTGGACCCTGCATTCACTATATAGACCCCGGACCCTGCATTCACTATATCTGGTCTCCCCGGACCCTGCATTCACTATATCCGGTCTCCCCGGACCCTGCATTTGCTATATCCGTCTCCCCGGGACCCCGCATTCACTATATCCGCTCTCCCCGGACCCTGCATTCACTATATCCGCTCTCTCCAGGACCCTGCATTCGCTATATAAACCCCGGTCTCCCCGGACCCTGCATTCACTATATCCGCTCTCCCAGGACCCTGCATTCACTATATCTGCTCTCCCCCGGACCCTGCATTCACTATATCTGGTAAACCCCGGACCCTGCATTCACTATATCTGGTCTCCCCGGACCCTGCATTCACTATATCTGGTCTCCCTGGACCCTGCATTCACTATATCTGGTCCACCCTGGACCCTGCATTCACTATATCCGGTCTCCCAGGACCCTGCATTCACTATATAAACCATGGACCCTGCATTCACTATATCTGGTCTCCCCGGACCCTGCATTCACTATATCCGCTCTCTCTGTACCCTGCATTCACTATATCCGGTCTCCCCGGACCCTGCATTCACTATATCCGGTCTCCCCGACCCTGCATTCACTATATCCGCTCTCCCCGGACCCTGCATTCACTATATCCGGTCTCCCGGACCCTGCATTCACTATATCCGCTCTCTCCGGACCCTGCATTCACTATATCCACTCTCCCCGGACCCTGCATTCACTATATCCGGTCTCTCCGGACCCTGTATTCACTATATCCGGTCTCCCCCGGACCCCGCATTCACTATATCTGCTCTCCCAGGACCCTGCATTCACTATATCTGGTCTCCCACGGACCCTGCATTCACTATATCTGGTCTCTTCCCGGACCCTGCATTCACTATATCCGGTCTCTCAGGACCCTGCATTCACTATATCTGGTCTCCCAGGACCCTGCATTCACTGTATCTGGTCTCCACGGACCCTGCATTCACTATATCTGGTCTCCCAGGACCCTGCATTCACTATATCTGGTCTCCCACAGTACACACAACATGGAAATGCAATTATTTTAGTACATAAAAACTTCTAAATACCTTTTCTCATCAGCAGTATATAGCAGTCTTGTGATTTCTATCATGTCCAGCTGAGCACTGGTTAAAGCTTGGAGGAGTTTTTATTCTGCTCTAGGAGGATGCAGGACCCCTAACCCTCTGTCTGGACAGTGCTGATTGGCCCTGTGCTGATCACATGCACTCTCCCAAGAAAAGAAAAAAACCTCTCTAGCAAGACACACCAAACTGAGCATGTGCAGAGTGACTCCACACGATATGTCTTATCAGGAGATAAGAGGGGGACACTGGAAGAAGGGGAGGATCAGAAAGACAGGATCAAACAGTGTTTTTGCACAATGCAGAGGATTAACCCCTTAGGTTCCACAGTAAGTATAACAAGCATGCTTTACTGCATCTACAGACTGATTGTACTGTGGTGGGTTTAAATATAAATTTATTTCCAAAATCAAAAGCGGTTTATTTATTCTAGCTTCTAATGCTCCATTAAACCAGAAAAAAGGGAACTTTTCCAACTTCTTACAAGTGAACTTCATTCTTGGGATTAGCGGAGACGCTCGTCATCCTTGTTTTTACATATGTAGGTCAGAGGTTTCGGCGGTTATAAAACATCACTTTGGAGAGAGAAGTGCCATCAACGTCTCCGGGTCCATCACTCACATTTACAGTTTGGCTTTCTCTAGCGCCCCCCCCCCCCCCACCCCCCCTCTCATATTGAGAGTTTTAGAAACAAACATCACATGACGTGTTGAAACATCTTGTCCTCCCCTCCGCCCCGTCTGCTGACACCCTCTCGCTGCACTTTGTTTCTTTGAAGATAATTCAGCTCAATATTCCCTCATAACGAAGGCGGGAGTCATAAAACATGATTTACAAGATCCCCGCGGACACGACTATTCTTGGAGGGTTTTCTTGGAAGGAAAACTAAAAAACTGAATTTTCACATAAATGGTGAACTTGCTGTGCCTAGATAACATGAGGCGCAGACATACAATATATATGTATTCACGCATGTCAGCACAAAGCCCCTTCACATGTGCTGGCACCTAAAGTGTCACTAAACCCACAACAGTACAATCAGTCTGTAGATGTAGGAAAGCATGCTTGTTATACTCACCTAACCTAAGGGGTTAATCCTCTGCATTGTGTAAAAAGGCTGTTTGATCCTGTCTTCTCTGATCCTCCTCTTGTTGAACCTGATAAGACAGACTGAACCCGTAGTCACATGCACATGTTCAGTTTGGTGTGTATTGCTGGAGAGTTTTTTTTTTCTTTTTTCTTGGGAGAGTGCATGTGATCAGCACAGGGCCAATCAACACTGTCCAGACTGAGGTCAGGGGTCCTGCATCCTCCTAGAGCAGAAAGAAAACTCCTCTTACAAGCTTTAAGCAGTGCTCAGCTGGACACTGATAGAAGTCACAAGACTGCTATGTACTGCTCATGAGAAAAGGTATTTAGCAGTTTATATTTACTAAAATAATTGCATTTCCATGTTGTGTGTACTGTGGGAGACCAGATATAGTGAATGCAGGGTCCAGGGAGAGCGGATATAGTGAATGCAGGGTCCGGGTCCGGGAGAGCGGATATAGTGAATGCAGGGTCCGGGGAGAGCGGATATAGTGAATGCAGGGTCCGGGGAGAGCGGATATAGTGAATGCAGGGTCCGGGGAGAGCGATATAGTGAATGCAGGGTCCGGGGAGAGCGATATAGTGAATGCAGGGTCCTGGGAGAGCGATATAGTGAATGCAGGGTCCGGGGAGAGCAGATATAGTGAATGCAGGGAATCCCGGGGAGAGCAGATATAGTGAATGCGGGGTCCGGGGAGAGCAGATATAGTGAATGCGGGGTCCAGGGGAGACCAGATATAGTGAATACGGGGTCCGGGGAGAGCAGATATAGTGAATGCGGGGTCCGGGGAGACCGGATATAGTGAATGCGGGGTCCGGGAGAGCGGATATAGTGAATGCGGGGTCCGGGGAGAGCGGATATAGTGAATGCGGGGTCCGGGGAGAGCGGATATAGTGAATGCGGGTCCGGGAAGAGCGGATATAGTGAATGCGGGGTCCGGGGAGAGCGGATATAGTGAATGCGGGGGTCCGGGGAGAGCGGATATAGTGAATGCGGGTCCGGGTAGAGCGGATATAGTGAATGCGGAGTCCGGGAGAGCGGATATAGTGAATGCAGGGTCCGGGAAGAGCGGATATAGTGAATGCAGAGTCCGGGCGGGACCGGATATAGTGAATGCAGGGTCCGGGGAGACCGGATATAGTGAATGCAGGGTTCGGGGAGACCAGATATAGTGAATGCAGGGTCCGGGGGGGACCAGATATAGTGAATGCAGGGTTCGGGGAGACCAGATATAGTGAATGCAGGGTCTGGGGGGACCAGATATAGTGAATGCAGGGTTCGGGAGACCAGATATAGTGAATGCAGGTTCGGGGAGACCAGATATAGTGAATGCAGGGTCTGGGGGGACCAGATATAGTGAATGCAGGGATGAACAAAGCATATCCCTATAAAGTGTGTACTTGTCTTAAACCAGAACATTAAGTGTCATTTCTGTTTACTGCCTCATTCCTCTATCACCATGAATCACTTCTGAGATGTTTTCCTGACACCAAAGGAAAAATGGTGACAGGGGAGGGACCTCCAGCTGATTGACAGCCACAGCTCTCTTCCCATGTGCTGTGTGTAGGGGAGTGTGTCCCTTCCCTCCAATCCAATCAGCAATCAGAGCTCTTCTCACATAGCTTTGCAGAGTGTAACTTCAGCTCTCCGCCCCTTTTTCTGAACTCCCAGAAAAGCTTTAAAATTTAGCGCCTTGAGCAGATTATTATACAGGATGTAGAGAATTATAACAGTGGAGAAGACTGCAGATAAACAGGCACAACTTCTGTTTGAGTATTTGTTTCATCTCTGTGTATCACCTGAGGACAGTAATTACACGTTAAGGTTTACAATCACTTTAAATGAAATACATTTTTCATTTATTTTTTCCATTAGGTTATTATTATTATACATTTTTATCTATTATTTATTTGTTATTCGTTTTTTTGATTATTTATTTTTTTACATTATTTGTTTATTATTTTTTCCCCCCTATTATTTATTTATTACTTTGTATTTGTTCATGTTTCTATTATTTATTTGTTTCATCTCTGTATATCACCTGAGGACAGTCATTTCACTAGGTACACGTTATTTCCTAGATTGTAAGCTTCCAGGATCAGGGCCCTCCTATCCCTCTTGTATTGAACTGTATTGTTGCTGTATTGTCTCCCGTTATATTGTAAAGTGCTGAGCAAACTGTTGGCACCATATAAATCCTGTATAACAATAATATAATAATAGTTCGGGTTTACAATCACTTTAAATTAAATAAATACATTTTTCATTATTATTTATTTTTCCATTAGTTTATTATTATAATTTTTTTCTATTAGTTATTTGTTATTCATTTTTTTCATTATTTATTTTTTACATTATTTGTTTATTATTTTTTTCCCCCATTATTTATTAATTTGTATTTGTTATTCATGTTTCTATTATTTATTTGTTTCATCTCTCTGTATCACCTGAGGACAGTCATTTCACTATGTACACTATGTTTTAGAAATTTTAAATTTTTTTTTTGTTCTAAAATAAAGAGCGATAAATAAAAATATAAATAATGGAAACAATAAATAATGGAAAAAATAAATAATAGAAGCATGAATTACAAATTAATAAATAACGGTTTACAATCACTTTAAATTAAATACATTTTTCATTTATTTTTTCCATTAGGTTATTATTATTATACATTTTTATCCATTATTTATTTGTTATTCATTTTTTCATTATTTATTTTTTACATTATTTGTTTATTATTTTATTATTTTTCCCCTATTATTTATTTATTACTTTCTATTCATGTTTCTATTATTTATTTGTTTCATCTCTGTGTATCACCTGAGGACAGTCATTTCACTAGGTACTTGTTAAGGTTTACAATCACTTTAAATAAATACATTTTTCATTATTATTTATTTTCCATTAGTTTATTATTATAATTATTTTATATTATTTATTAGTTATTAATTTTTTCATTATTTATTTTTTACATTATTTGTTTATTCCCCCCCCCCCCCCCACCGTTATTTATTAATTTGTATTTGTTATTCATGCTTCTGTTATTTATTTTTTCCATTATTTATTGTTTTCATTATTTATATTTTTATTTATCACTCTTTATTTTCAAAATAAAAAATTTCAAATTTCTTATTTTGAAAATAAATATCACCTGAGGAAAGTCATTTCACTAGGTACTCGTTAAGGTTTACAATCACTTTAAATTAAATAAATACATTTTTCATTGTTATTTATTTTCCATTAGTTTATTATAATTATTTTCTATTATTTATGTGTTATTCATTTTTTCATTATTTATTTTTTACATTATTTGTTTATTATCCCCCCCCCACCGTTATTTATTAATTTGTATTTGTTATTCATGCTTCTATTATTTATTTTTTCCATTTATTTATTGTTTCCATTATTTATATTTTTATTTATTGCTCTTTATTTTAGAACAAAAAAAAAATTTAAAATTTCTAAAACCGTTTGGCACCTCCCATCTTCCAAGTGGGAAGTGACACATTTCGCTGGTCTCACACTAATTTTGTCTAATTTGTTGTC